TGCACCATTATTGTTCAGAATGTCCACCCCAACAATCAGAATTGCTGAAAAGGCATTGTGAAATACTTTGTTTTCTATAGTTGGTTATGAGGATCATATAATGATTTTTATTTCTGCAAAGATCCAGATAATTATGAGATTGGTTTCTGTGCGTCTCATGTTATGGCTGTGCCAGAGAGTCACTCATGGGGGGCAACTCGTGACCTCAATAGGGCATGAAGGATGAGCCGGTACCGACCCACTTCCCATGAGAGTGCAGCTGCCCCGTCACCCCCGGCTCATACCTGGCTTTCCAATGAACTCTGAGTCGGCAGCCACCTTGCTGCCGGGGGAGGGGGTGGGGTGAGGTGGGGTAAAAGTGGAAGGGAGGGAGCAACACCCTTTCCCATCCCAGGGAGGCATGGTGCCGTAGTTTAACGCATGGTCCATTCACTTTTCTGCCACAAGCTGCCAGACTCTGGCCTAAGTCCTTATGCCTCTGGATCCATGGCCATGCCAGAGAGGTGCTCGTGGGGTGCAACTCGTGACCTCAGTAAGGCAAAGATCCAGATAATTATGAGATTGGTTTCTGTGCGTCTCATGTTATGGCTGTGCCAGAGAGTCACTCATGGGGGGCAACTCGTGACCTCAATAGGGCATGAAGGATGAGCCGGTACCGACCCACTTCCCATGAGAGTGCAGCTGCCCCGTCACCCCCGGCTCATACCTGGCTTTCCAATGAACTCTGAGTCGGCAGCCACCTTGCTGCCGGGGGAGGGGGTGGGGTGAGGTGGGGTAAAAGTGGAAGGGAGGGAGCAACACCCTTTCCCATCCCAGGGAGGCATGGTGCCGTAGTTTAACGCATGGTCCATTCACTTTTCTGCCACAAGCTGCCAGACTCTGGCCTAAGTCCTTATGCCTCTGGATCCATGGCCATGCCAGAGAGGTGCTCGTGGGGTGCAACTCGTGACCTCAGTAAGGCGTGAAGGACGAGCCAGTACCACTCCCCTTCCCATGAGACTGCAGTTGCCCCGTCACCGCCAGCCATACCTGGCTTTACAATAAGCTCTGAGGCGGCAGCCACCTTGTATGCGGTCCAGATGCATTTCTGCCAAAAGCCGCTGGGTTTCGAGATTTGTTTCTGAGTCTCTGGGATCATGGCCATGAAAAAGCTTGAGGAGCCAGAGACTCCATTTGTAGGCGGTGACTCGGGGTCTCGTTGGGATGGGGAGGAAAGGGCCTATTCCACCCCCATCTGGTGAGGCCCCACGTGTCTCGTCACTGCAGGCCCAAACCTGCCTGTGCAGTGGCCTCTGGAGGATGGCGGACACCGGGCCACCAGGGGGAATAGGCCAAGGCACGAAATCTATTCCCACCTTGAGTGGCCCAGCACCAGTACCCTACTGCAGGAACAGAATGCTTTCTGCCAAAAACCACTGGGTTCTGAGATTACTTTCTGAGTCTCTGGGATCATGGCTATTAAGCAGTTCAATCAGGAACCAGAGAAACCATGCCTCCAATTATACAGCTGGGCCGGAGGTGGTTTGTGGGTGTGTCACCCACATACCCAACTTTCGGCCATTTACTTTCTTGGTGAACTTTGCCCCAAGTTTTTGGGGTCTGGCCAAAGGCACAGAAGTAATTTAGGGGTATCTGAAAGTCTGACAGTGCCATCTGACTGCTGATGCACTCACCTCACAGGTACAGACTGACCTACTGGCGGCACCACACCCCCTCTCTATGTAAAATTTAGGGTAAATATTTAATCTCTCTGTGCTTCAGTGTCCTCATCTCTATTTCAGCGATAGTAGTAGCAGATATCTCAAAATACTGTTGCAAAAAAAGAAATGAAATATTTTGTTTCTATACTTGTGTGGTATGTGGTAAAGTAGGAACACAACTAAGCATACATTGAGCACTTAAATATTAATATAGTCATCCTATTTCTGAAACATTTGCACTGGAATACATTCTTGAGATAGCAACTCCTCACAACAGTGTGAAAAATACAGTTCAACAACTGTTTCTATATAGTGTTTCAGTTTAACTAAGGATACATATATAAATATCTGTAATATCTTGTTATAATTTCAATAAAGTATTTTTGATCCAAAGCTTTGTTACTCAGTATGATATCAGGGCGTTCAGGCATGGTATTACCAGGAGGCTTTTCAAAATAAAGAACAGGAATCTGCATTTTATTGTGTTTGTTTATCCATATACTTATTTTTGTGGTGTCAAGGAGTGAACTCAGGATTTTACACATGAGGTCCATGCTCCACCACTAAGGTATACCTTCAGTTTCCAGAATCTACACTTAATTTATAGATTATTCCCGTGCAGACTAAAGTTTGGGAAGCACTTTTTTTTAATATAGGAGTACTGCTATTTATTCAGACACTGATTAACTGACTGAATTGGGCATTAACTCCCTTACTTTTTTTTCACTTTTTACAGTTTTATTTATTGAATCACTGTGAGAGCAGTTACATAGCTTTCAGGTCTAAGTCTCGGTCATACACTAAAAAACCCATACCTTCACTAGTGCCCATTCTCCACCACCAGAAACACCAGTATACCCCCATCCCACACCCTCCCCCTACCTGTGCGGCAGATGATTTCCCCGTTTCTCTCTCTCTCTCTCTCTCTCTCTCTCTCTCTCTCTCTCTCTCTCTCTCTCTCTCTCTCTCTCTCTCTCTCCCCTCCTTGATTCCATTCAATATTTTGACAGCAGACCCACCGTTATGATTTGGGATTTTAGCCCAACACTCAGATCTGCAGAAAAGGCAGCAGTAGACAATCTGCTTTCTATTCCTGGTTATGAATAACATATGATTTCGCGTGGCTGCAGTAGTGGCTGCGCGAATTTGAAATTCTGAAATTTAAACAATTAAATTGGGAGGGATTTCTGCAAAAAAAAAAAACTGCTGGGTTCCAAGATTTCTTCCAGAGTCTCTTGGATCATGAGACTGATCATGGTCGTTAAGCAGCTTGATCAGGAGCCAAAAAGGCCGTTAGTGGGTGGCAATTCGGGGTCTTGTTGGGACGAGGAGGAAAGGGCCGGCTCCAACCCCATCCCATGAGGTCCCACGTGTCTCATCACTGTGGGCCCAAACCTGACTGTCCAATGGCCTCTGGAGGATGGCGGCCACCTAGCCACCTATGGGGAGCAGGAGGAGGGACAGCACCCCTTCCCATCTGAGTTGGCCCGGGGCCAGTAACCTACTGTGGGGAATGGACGCATTTCTGCCAAAAGCCACTGGGTTCCGAGATTTGTTTCTGAGTCTCTGGGATCATGGCCATTAAGCAGCTTGATCAAGAGCCAGAGAGGCCATTCTTGGGCGGTGTCTCGGGGTCTCATTGGGGTGGGGAGGAAAGGGCTGGCTCCACCCCCATCCCTTGAGGCCCCTCATGTCTTGTGACCACGGGCCCAAACCTGACTGTCCAATGGCCTCTGGCAGATGGCAGCCACTGAGCCACCAAGGGGGAGCAGGTGGAGGGACAGCACCTTTTCGCCCCTGGGGTGGCCTGGCAACAGTAACCTACTGCGCAATCCAGATGCATTTCTGCCAAGAGCCGCTGGGTTTCAAGATTTTGTTTCTAAGTTTCTGGGATCATGGCCGTTAAGCAGCTTGAAGAGGAACCAGAGAAGCTGTTCATGGGCAACGACTCAGGGTCTTGTTGGGACGGGAAGGAAAGGGCCGGCTCCACCCCCATCCCATGAGGCCCCATGTGTCTCATCACTGCGGGCCGAAATCTGACTGTCTAGTGGCCTCTGAAGAATGGTGGCCACCGGGCCGCCAGGGGGAGCAGGAAACCTATTCCCACCTGGGGTGGCCCAGCGCCAGTAACCTACTGCAGGGACTGGACGCATTTCTGCTCAAAGCCCCTGGGTTCCGTGACTTGTTTCTGAGTCTCTGGGTTCATAGCCATTTAACGGCTTGATCAGAAACCGGAGAGGCCGTTCATGGGCAGCAACTCGGTGTCTCATTGGGGTAGGGGGGAAAGGGCCAGCTCTACCCCCAACCCTTGAGGCCCCACGTGTCTCATCACTGGGGGCCCACCTTACTGTCCAATGGCCTCTGATGGATGGTGGCCACCAAGCCACCAAGGGGGAGCAGGCGGAGGGACAACACCCTTCCCCCCCTGGGGTGGTCCTGCTACAGTAACCTACTACGCGGACTGGATGCATTTCTGCCAAAAGCTGCTGGGTTTCAAGATTTGTTTCTGAGTCTCTGGGATCATGGCCATTAAGCAGCTTGGTCAGGAGCCAGAGAGGCCATTCATGGGTGGCGACTTGGGTCTCGTTGGGACAGGGAGGAAAGGGCCGGCTCCACCCCCATCCCGTGAGGCCCCACGTGTCTCATCACTGTGGGCCCAAACCTGATTGTCCAGTGGCCTCTGGAGGATGAAGGCCACCGGGCCACCAGGGGGAACAGGCCAAGGCACGAAACCTATTCCCACCTGGGGTGGCCCAGTGCCTGTAACTTACTGCAGGGACTGGATGCATTTCTGCCAAAAGCCACTGGGTTTCAAGATTTGTTTCTGAGTCGTTGGGATCATGGCCGTTAAGCAGTTCAATCAGAGACCATGCCTCCAATTATAAAGCTGAGCTGGAGGGGGTTTGTGGGTGTGTCTCCCATAAACCTAACTTTTGGCCTTTTACTTTCTTTGCTAAACTTTGCCCCAAGTTTTTGGGGTCTGGCCAAAGTCACAGCAGCAATTTTGGGGTATCTGGAAGTCTGAAGGTGTCATCAGGCTGCTGATACACGAGAAGCACTTCTTTCAATTCAAAACCAAAAACCAATAAGTAAATGTACCTCATATGTCTCACTAATTAAATAAATAAAATTAAAAATAAAATATATCTAGTTCAATAGAATTTGTGAGAATAGGAAAAAAAAGATTCTAGTGAGGTAAATAGACATACAGAGTATGTAACCAAACTCACTACTTTTCATTACTACTAAAACGGATTAGAATTGTAATGATCAAAATTTACAAGAAAAATGTTTCCTTACCTAATATTAAGGTACGTTAGCATCTGTAGGTTTTTAATGGCTTCAGGAATGGTTTTGATGCAATTATGATACAAATTCAATGTTTCAAGAGGTGCAAATAACCAGACATCAGAAGGAATTTCTGTAAACCGATTTCTTGAAAGATCTGAAAAACAAAAGTAATGCTAGAGTGTAACCACATCTATGGTAATCAACATATTTTCATACTTGCTCACTTAGAATCCAAGCAATTAAGACAATTTACATATCATCTACTTTAACCCTGAAGGCAAAACGTTAAGAAATACGCTCTCAGAAAGTCTACTTAGTAACAAATTATACTTAATGAGCCTTACTAACTTTATAATCCAAATAGCCATTTATTTTTTAAAATACCAGTGAGAGATGTGTAAGCAACAGTCAGGAAGTACAAACCTTAATGAACATGTGTGAGCACTACAGTGACCCACACTGTGTCAGAACGCACATGCCTCAACTGCAGCGTGTGATCCCAGGAAAGCATGCATGCAACCTTTGCAACAAAAGGATCTTAAAGCTGCAAGCTCTGTGGCTGAGTGTAAAGGATCACAATCCGTTGTGTGACCCACCCAGAAAACAACAAAGCTAAAAACATGCAAGTACCATAGGGAGGCGCCTGTGTAATCCCTAGTCATCACAACAATACCATCATCAACAACAATACAGGTAAAGGAGGAAAATAATTTTTTAAATCACTGAATAAAATTCAAAAATTCAGATGAGGAATTTTCTCTGATCTTAAAAGAAGTTCTAGCTGTAATTGCACATGGCCCCCAATTGACCTCTTCCTCCTTCTTAGCCAAAGTTACATAAATCCCCAAATGTCTAACTCACCAATGAACTCCTCAATCCAATGTAATATGGTTTCTGTTCACTGTAATGCTCAACAAGGTCACAAACAGCTTCTGTATCAATAACCACCTAGAAACATTCTCTTCCCTGGACATGAAAAACTAAACTGATCATCTATATATCCATGTCTCAACTCAGAAAATGTCGTCTTCTTCCTCTAGTTGAGTTGTTCAAGAAATCTGGTAGCCACCCTTGATTCATTCCTCTCAATTATTACAACTATACACTTGGAATAGTTTCATTCATTTAAGTAGTTAAAAAATAAAATCATATTATACTATAATCATTGGGCTGGAGCGATAGCACAGTGGGTAGGGCGTTTGCCTGGCAAGCGGCCGATACTGCCGACCCAAGTTCAATCCCTGTTCCCCTCTCGGAGAGCCCAGCAAGCTACTGAGAGTATCTTGCCCACGCAGCAAAGCCTGACAAGCTATCCGTGATGTATTCAATATGCCAAAAATAAAACAAGTCTCACAATTTGTTGTGAGACGTTACTGGTGCCCGCTCGAGCAAATCGATGAACAACAGGAGGACAGTGCTACAGTGCAGTGCTAATTTAGAAGATTGTTAAAGTATTCTATAGCAGTTATAGGTACTGATTACTTGAAAAAATTTTGTTTTGTACTCTGGGGGATTAGAATCACAAGTTCAGTTTTATGTGCATATAAAGACAACTGACTCCGGCCAAATTAGAGAGATATTAAATGAGCAGTTGCAAGTATACAGTTACAAGATACAAATGTTTCTGTATCTTGGAGGTGAGATCTGACATAGATATATAAAACTGGGTGTTGTGAAAATATTGTTACTATTGTAACTTACATGTTATTGTGTGTTGCTTCATATTCTTTCTCTTTCCATAAAAAGATCATCCCTAATCAAATTACAAAGTAATAATGTGAGTTCCCTTAGGGAACTTAAATTTGCATTCATAAACTATTTTCTGGTTGATTTAATACACTTACTAAACACCTCTTAAAATTACAATTAACAATTATTCTATTTTAATTGATTTAAATTAAGTAAGGTATAATTAAGTCAAAATTAAAACACAAGCTATTAAAAATACTCTAATTAAGGGAATTGTCCTAATGTTTTACAGATTTTATATCTATATAAACAAACTTTCTAAGAACTGGGGAAACAGTAAAACAGCGCCAAAAGGAAAACACAACCATGGAAGAAAACTTAGAACATTACACAGAATAAGTTTTATTCCAGATTTTTTTTTGAACTCACACTAAAAGCATCTCACACTGACCTTGGAAAAAAAAAACCTGAGTTCTGAGCGTCTGCCCTCCCCTCTTTACTCCTCACGCTGCGCTGCTCTCGTCCCAAACCCAGGTCAGTTCACCCGCCAGTTCTTGAACCCGGGACTTGGATCTCTCCCTTCAAGACCCCAGGCGTCCCCCCAGACACCTGGAGAAAAGCAGTTCTGAGCGTCTGCCCTCCCCTCTTCACTCTTCACGCTGCGCTGCTCTGGTCCCAAACCCAGGTCAGTTCATCCGCTGGTTCTTGAACCCGGGACTTGGATCTCTCCCTTCAAGACCCCAGGCGTCCCCCCAGACGCCTGGAGAAAAGCAGTTCTGAGCGTCTGCCCTCCCCTCTTCACTCCTCACGCTGCGCTGCTCTCCTCCCAAACCCAGGTTTTTGTAGGGGCGTGGCCTCTTCACAAGTGGGCGTGGCTTCTGTAGAAGTGAGGGTGGCCAATTTTTCTGCGGGCCAAAGCTTACCCAGCCATAGGTAGTTTAGCCATACTAAGGAACCTAGTCCCCAAGGAATCTAGTCCCAAACCTACACAGCAATATGAAGAAACAACGCAAATCCCCACCACAAGGGAAGGACAACGAAAACAATCTAGAAGACTCTGTCGATCTTGCTCACCTAAAGGACCTCTCTGACATAGAATTCAGATACAAAGTCATTAAGATGTTAAATCAACTCAATGAAACAGTCAGACAGACAGCCAGTAACACGACAGAAAAAATCGACAAATTACGCGAAGAAATGAGAGCAGATATGTCACAATTAAAAGATTCCGTAGATGAAATGAAAAACTCAGTCTCTTCTCTTAACAACAGAATGACCGCAGCTGAAGAGAGAATCAGTGAGCTGGAAGATCAGCTGCACCAAGCCAACAGGCAACAACAAACAGTGGCCAGGGACCTCAAAATAGCACTACAGAGAATCAGAGTCCTAGCAGATGATTCCAAGAAGAACAGCATTAGAATCATTGGACTACCAGAAGCTCAGGGAAACAATCCAAACGGAAAAAAAACCACAGTGAAACAAATCATTGCTGAAAAATTCCCAGAGCTCCACAATGCAGCCATTCAGGTTCAAGAAGTCCGAAGGGTGCTAGCTAAAATAAACCCTAACAAAAACACTCCAAGACATATCATAGTTAGAATTATTGATGCTGCCGATAGAGATACTGCAAGCAGCAAGGGCAAAGAAGGAAATCACATACAAAGGAGCACTCCTTAGAATCACAGCAGATCTATCGGAGGAAACCCTCCAAGCCCGAAGGCAGTGGCGAGATACAGTAAAAAAACTCACTGAAATGAATACTTCACCAAGAATACTCTATCCAGCTAAACTCTCACTCAAAATCGAAGGAACGGTACACTATTTTCTAGACAAACAGTGGATAGAAATAGTATCAACAATCTTTTCAGACCATGGTGCACTGAGAATAGAAGTGAATCACACACAGACACGAAGAACCAAATCAAAAACCTGGAAATTAAACAACTCAATGCTTAACAACGAGTGTATCAGGAAGGAAGTCAAGGACGAAATCAAAAGTTACTTGGAAACAAATGAGAATGAAGACACGAGCTAACAGAACTTACAGGATGCAGCGAAGGCCGTTTTAAGGGGAAAATTTATAACTCTGCAAGCACATCTCAGGACAGAAGAAAAGATGCACATAAACAACTTGACTTCACAGCTCAAGATCTTAGAAAAGGAACAACAGAAAGAGCCCAAATTGGGCAGAAGGAAAGAGATCATAAAACTTAGAGCAGAAATCAATGACATGGAAAACAAAGAAACAATCCGAAAGATCAAGGAAACCAAGAGCTGGTTCTTCGAGAAAATAAATAAGATAGATAAACCACTAGCAACACTCAGAGAAACAGAGAGAGAGAACCCTAATAAATCAAATCAGAAATAAGAACGGGGATATCACAACAGAAACCAAAGAAATTCAAAAGATCATCAGAGACTACTTTGAAAGTCTGTATGCCATTCAACAAGAGAACCTAGAAGAAATGGATAAATTCCTGGATTCCTATCATCTCCCAAAGCTGAATCAAGAAGATACAGAGTACCTGAATAGACCTATTCACATCAAGGAAATTGAAACTGTAAACAAAAGTCTGCCCAAAAAGAAAAGCCCAGGTCCAGATGGATTCACTAGCGAATTTTTCCAAACATTTAAAGAGGACCTATTGCCAGTTCTTCTCAAGCTTTTCCAGGAAATTAAAAAAACAAAAACTCTCCCAAAGAGTTTCTATGAAGCCCATATCTCTCTAATACCAAAGGGAAACAAAGACACCACAAGAAAAGAAAACTACAGGCCAATATCCCTGATGAACACGGATGCAAAGATTCTCAACAAAATACTAGCAAATAGAATTCAACAACTAATCAAAAAGATCATACATCATGACCAAGTGGGATTCATCCCGGGGCTGCAAGGATGGTTCAACATTCGAAAATCAATCAACATAATCCATCATATCAATAAAAGAAAAGATAAAAATCATATCATCATGTCAACAGATGCAGAGAAAGCATTTGACAAGATCCAGCACCCATTTATGATGAAAACCCTCGCCAAAATGGGGATAGAGGAGGACTTTACTCAATATAGTTAAAGCCATCTAACACAAACCTAAAGCAACATCATCCTCAATGGGGAAAAACTCAGAGCCTTCCCCCTAAGATCAGGGACGAGACAAGGATGCCCACTCTCTCCACTACTGCTCAATATAGTACTGGAAGTACTTGCTATAGCAATTAGGCAAGAAAAACATATTAAGGGCATCCAGGTAGGGAAGGAAAAAATCAAGCTCTCACTATGCACAGATGATATGATACTATACTTAGAGAACCCAATAACCTCCACCAAAAAACTCCTAGAAACAATAGACTTGTATAGTAAAGTGGCAGAGTATAAAATCAATACCCAAAAATCCATGGCTTTCCTATAGGCAAATAGTGAAAGAGAAGAAAGTGACATGAAGAAAACAATCCCACTCACAATTG